CGCCTGAACGGCCTAAACCAAGGATACCTTCGCGTAGCAGGGGATTTAGATCTAAATTGCAAGCTCGCGCACCAGATCTCTTGATGAGAAAATGGCCACGCGTTTCAGCGTCACCACGATGATTTCCAACGGAAGTGAATAAAATTGAACATCCAAGCCAAGAAAAACAGGAAACAAAAATAAATAGAAGATAAAAAACCATACAACAGAAGGGATTCGCTGGTGGTCACCCACCCAACTACTAACCTCCCGGCGTGTGGCTTAAGTACGGCTGAGCGGACGGGAAGCCCTGTTTTCCACACCCTATGGTCGTATGTACTAGATTATCTTTTACTTTATCCTATGAAGAAGATTATGGAAACTCCATGCGGAATTCCAGCCCTCACCTTCTCCTTCAAGTCAGGACAGCAGCTTTAGACGAGACGCATGCTAGATTACTCGGCGGGTTCGGGATCCCTGCTTTGAGCCGATCGGGATAATTGCCCGATGAGCTTCACTGTTACCTGTAATTACATTGTCCAGGAATGTAGCATGCCCATAATGCATCTAGTTGTGTTGACAGCAAAAAGACTTCCCAATGTATTCTGCATCATCGGGAAATGTTTCCCTTCGTGGGATATGCATCAGGCTCCGGCAGGATGAAAGTCATGCGTTGCGGTTGCAAGGGCTTGATCTGCGCACTTGTCATCGAGTAGCCGAAAGTTTGCTTTCTATAGTTAATGCTGGTGAATGACAGCACATTACGTACATTAGGTCCACAAAGAGAAAACATCCGTTACACAAAGCAAGGCGTTATAAAAGATTTCCTATTTGATAACCTCCCTTTATCCCTTGCACTAAAACAGAACAAGTCTCGAGAGGAAATGTGTTCGGGTTAAGGTTGGAGGAAGGTTCGTGAACAAACTGATAGTTAGAGTAAATATAAGCGCTTAAATTGTACAACTTAAAACTGGGAGTCACTCTGGCTTGTGTAACATTTACCGGGATAGCAGATATACATAGAAACTTTGATTCAATGTAAGTGGACGAATTGGGACTATAACCTACAGTGGCAGGTGGAGGAGAATAGAACGACATATGACGTTCAATTCTATGCCTGTGATCTATAAATGGTCTATAGGGCACACCGGCTTTTGCTGGATTATCCTTCAATATCATATCTATTCATCACACGTAGTCACGCCACATTGCTGATCTACAAACATTCACTTTAACTCCACAACTGCTCAGTTCCCGCTGATATCGACAAGCGATCGTTAGTCTGAGGACCCCCAAAAGATAGAGTAAGACTAATTTCAAGTGGGTATAGACCATGTCGACAGTTTGCGGCCAAGATCTTCTCGAGTGGCTTCTCGAGGAGCCATCCAACATGCTTCATTTGAAGAGAAGCTGGAAGACCTCGTTTCGCAGGAATTCGACGGTACCCACGAAGCTAAATATGCGTTGAAGGCTCCTTTCAGATTGTGAAACCTAAGCTCTCCTGATCATGTTGATGAGCTCCCAAAGTCAGGATGCACAGAGCCAAGCTGTGCCCCTGAGACCGAAGAAAAAATTATCAATGGAAAACAAAATACGTACGAGTGTTGCTGAAAAGCCAAGTGTCTGAGGCCGCCAGCCTGACCAGCAGCGGCATGACACCCGGACTCACGGGAGCAGGTCTGGGCGGAAGTCGTTGCCCTTACCTTGACGGGATGGCATGTGGTAACTTATGGCTCGAGAGGAAGTCACCTGCTCGAGATCTCTTATGGGTAGAATCGTCCATGCGTGAGCTTCAGAAGCACTCGAAGAGGTCTGAAGAACCCTTGACGAGCTTCTGGCGACTGGAGCCAGCGATCCACAGGCCTCGTATGCAGGACGTTTTCAATGCCTCTTAGGAAAAGAGTGGGGCAGACCCAGCACTGAGAGTTGGTAGGAGTTCGGATAAAGCTGCAATCGACCCATATTACCTGCGCGACATGGGATTTTCGCTCCCTGGCTCTGTTGTCGACAGTGCGCTTGTAGCAGATTTCGATTATGTTCATACGGCCACTAGCCTGGGTCGGTTGAACGAGGGTTGTAGTTGCAGATTATGTGTCGCCGTTGACGCTGTAACCAGGCCACTGTTTGCTCGGAATGTTGCCGTTGGGGACATTGGGAATCTTATCGTCTCGGCAATAGTTTCAGTCGACTTGAGCTTGAATGCGAGAGCCGCTGCAAGCGTGAAGGGTGTACCAGTCTCCAACAGGTATATTACGTTTGTTCCGGCGCTCCCAAGTCACGTTGGCCATCCGGTGATCGAGGGAAATGTGTTCTCCAAAGGAGACGGTGTTGGTCAGGTCCGAAGTGCCGAAATGGCAAATATATTCCAGGCTTCCGAGGCCAGAGGAATTATGCGAAATACTTGTGTGTACAGTCTAAGTTGCGCTATTGACTTTTTCGTCTATGGCGGAGCATACGGCGGGGTATGGTCAATGCAAGACACTCGGTTTCTGTACGACTACGCGATCGGAAGTCGGCCTGACTGCGATGCAGAGCTGCGGGCGATCAGAAACCGTTGTGTGAAAGTGGCGAGCGGTGCTGTTCACAAATATGTGGGCGACGGGGTGACTCTGAAGTTTGCCAACTATGCAAATCAAGTTTAAGATAAAAAGCGAAGAAGCTGCTCGCAGCGCCGGGAAGAAGGCACCAGGGTATGTTGTATGGGACGACCTCAAAGCCATGTGCGCGTTCCGTTGCACCGACGGCGTTTTCGCGAAAGGGCTTTACGACAGTCGAGGCGACGACACTTCAGTTCTCATTCTGGGAGCGCTGGTGGTGGTGCATGACTTCATTGACCTTGGGTATGACATGGCATCTGGAGAAATAGGCAATATAGTGCCTTCTTTGTGCAAAGGAGGAGGGCTTATGCTCGGCTCGGGGCCCTTTCGACTTAGTCGATGGAGAACCGCAAGTACGAACCGGACATTTTGTTTATTCTGGCGACCTTCATATGGCAGATGTCAAAAGCTCGTCATCGTGTTATGGAAAATTCTGTTACTATCCCCGAAAACCTAGGGTTCAGAGTAGGGTGGAGGTTCAAGGGGACCCTCCCTAGGTATAGCAACCTCGTGGACGACTCAAGGTACACGTAGCATACGCCCGAGTGACTTGAAATTACGATTCCTTGGTCCGGAGAGGTGGTCTCGGGTGGCCATGCTGTCTCCGGGGTTGTGGAGCTAGCTACAAGACCCGAAGAGCAAGAGGTTCTCGAGATGTTTTTGGTTAAATATCTAACTGGGGCGGATCAGCCAGATTTCCACGTATACCACCCGGCGGCACTCAGATTGATGTGTGACGATGATTGGCAGCGCAAAGTCGACTTCACCTGGGCACTTTGTATAGCCATGTGGGAGGAGGGTATTCTGTACGCTGCTTCAATCAGTACTCAGAGGATTAAAAAAGGTCGTTTGGCAAATGACGACAGGGCTGGAAAGGGTTGTGAGGAGAGAAAGTGGTAGATCTTGTTGAACAATGACTCCACCCACCGGTCCTACTAGTAACTTACGTGTCTGAAAATATATTTTGCGGAAGAGCGGCTTCAATCGACCTGAAGTCGACATTGAGGATCTGAAGGCAACTCAAAAAGGCTTACTAGTACTATCAGTATATATGAGGGAAGCCTGTGATGTGTTTGGAAAATTGACTACATAAGAAGAAGGAGTGAAAAATAAGAATGAGTTTGTTTTTGAAGAGATGAAAATTTGATTCGAAGCGGGAGCAAAAAAAGTAAGGAAAGGAAAAAGATCTGTCCCGAGGGAGGTTCGAACTCCCGGCCTTGGGATCGCATGGAAGTTATGCTTCCACGTCATACTGTAGTATGAGACCCACGTGATAACCAACTACACCATCGAGACGACTTGTTGAAGAACGTTTACTATTATAGCAATATATCGCAATAGGTAACAGAGACAGGAAGTCAATGATCAATCCGCGCCATCCTTTCTCCTTTTTCCGTCCCCAACGAGGGTGCATAACCGGCGATAAGATTGATTAAGCTTACATAGCCCCTATGCCGCGGGTCTAGCACAGGGATGTGCTTTAACCATTTCATCTTTCTACCCTAAGGAGCCGCAGTAGCGTCGCCAGATGCTATTTTATTTCTACATTGGGAAACACCGAAAGTCCCGATACGAAGCCCATGGGTTACCGGTGTCACCGTCTTTGGCTGGCACGTCATCAGATGACCACAGCATATTTAGAATGGGAGCCCAACTTAACCAATATCCCGTCGGAATAACTCTCTACACTATCCGATAGCCAAACTGGCTAACCGCTCGTGAAGATCCATCAGTAGTCAGTATCATCCTAGTGGGTCTTGAGCTTTGCCTTTCACGGCCACCCGGAAATAGGCTCTGGGATACATTGTTTTCCTAATCCTTCCAAGTGCGGCCCGCTATCGGGCTCGGGCATACAATAGGGGCGTTAACATCTTTCGTTGACAGTTTAAATAACAGCCATCTCAACTCAAAATTCAACTAATGACTGCTTCCACACTCCAACAGTCCCCGGCCAAAACCCAACCAATCTAACCATGGACAAACTCCATCCCCGCATCGAGGCCTTCCTGGGGCGTCTCTTGCGCAACAAACGAGGCCGCGACGCAAAACTACTCACGCGCACCAGTCCAGTTCTTCAGGCGCTTCAACCCACCATCGCCGTAACCTCGTCCGTGGGCCCATCGCAGTCTCCACTACCCGCAGAATACACTCAGGTTGGCGCGAACCGCTTCCCGCCTCTTTCCTGGACGGTACCCAACGACTCCGTGCCCACGGAGAAAATCAACAGCTACGTGCTCATTGTCGAGGATGCTGATGCGCCGCTGCCGAATCCAATCGTGCATGGGCTGTACTACGGGCTTTCAAAGGACAAAACCAGTATCTCTTCAGATGATGTTGCTGTGGCGGACGCGAGTAAGAGGGCGTTACAGGGGGGATTCCAGTACGGGGTGAACTGGCACCAGAATGTGTGGAGTGGGCCGCGCCCGGTATTGGGACACGGCTCGCATCGGTATTTCTTTCAGGTGTTGGCGTTGGGAAAGGCGCTAGAGGAGAAGCCTTGGGGGAAGGAGGAGTTGTTGCAGTGGCTGGAGACGGAGAAGGAGAGTGTGTTGGCTTGGGGGGAGTGGGTGGGCACTTTTGTGCGGGAGCCTTAGATCGATGGAATGTGGAATGGATGATGAACTATGAAACTTTGCAAGTTTAGTGGAATGCTTAATTCTAATTCTAATTTATTCAATCATATAATGTTATGCGCGCTGACGGGTCGATCATTTACGGGTAGGGATGGTCAGGTGATCTGATCGTTTGTTCGCTTCATCAGTAGCAATCCCCTCCCTAGGTACCCCTTCGTTCTTCATCCCTGCTGCCATGTATCTACCCGATAGCTGTAACGACCATTTCGAATTTATCGGATGACAAGATCATGTTGTGTTGCATTGGATTCCCAAGCGAGCAATGTCCTTATTCGTCCAATTTCCCGATGAGGGCCTCACTACCGGTGCGCCACACCCAACGCTAGTAAAATCTTGTTGATTGTGTAACAGCTGGGGGGAAATATACAGCCCGCATCGTGATCCTCCAGCATTGTACGACATGACTAGAAGCCGGCCCAGCGGCTGCTCGCAGTAGCAATTTGTGCGTGTAGTTCAGGAACGAATGATAGATTTTATTCTCCTGGCAGCCGTTAGAGAACCTCACTGGGGTCTACCCCTGATGCGGTACAGACTTGAGAGGCAGTGCCCTCCAAAAAGTCCCTCATGGCATGCTTCTGAGATATGCTTCAATCATGCTCGTGCTAAAGGTCTTAGGCATTAGGAAACTCTTGGCCAAACTTTGTCAGTGATGATGGCTACGCTTTACTGGCCGTTTTGAGTGGGATTAAACATACACTGGGAGGCATCCTGCTCAATGTATCATGGGCCCGGTCGTAATCGTGGCGTATCTATGCCTCTCTTAGACGGGACATTGCCTAGGAGGGAGCGATATCACTTGGTAACGTGCATAATAATGTTGGAGATTAGGCTTCGAGCATATAGCGCACTACTCCGTACAAATAGTTGATTGTTGCAGAAAAGCGGGGTGAATGGTCGGTGGCTATTTGGGCAGTGTTGCTCCCTAGCTTCTGCATACTTTTCGAAACGAGGTCGTTCAGACTATTTGTAGCAAGACTTCTGGCCCCCGATTATGTGCTGTTTTTCAGACACGAGTCTCTCATCTACAATACAATGATCCGGAGAGATGAAAAAGAGCAATCTGCTTCCGATAGCAGTAGCCCCCTCAAAACCATAGAGAGAAGCGCGAACGTTAAAAGCTCCACCTCTAATGCCATCGTTGTTGTGAGTACTACGTTGTTCTCGCTAAAATAACAAAACAGGAAATTTCTAACTAAACATCTGACAGGACTGGAATGGACCAGATGACCCAGAATGTCCTCGACACTGGCCAAAGAGTCGGAAATGGCTCAATGTGCTTCTGATATCTCTCCAAGGAACTCTGTCCCCGATCGCATCAACTATATTAACTCTAGGTGTATTCGACATCGCAACCGAGTTCCGTCTAACGAGCCCATATACCCCAGCCCTCCCCATCGCCTTCTACCTCGTGGGTCTCGCACTAGGACCTCTGGGCGTGGCACCATGTTCGGAAATATTTGGCCGGCGTCCCATCTACACTATCTGCTTTGCCATCTTCACCCTCCTCAACGTCAGCTGTGCATTGGTACATAACATGGCCGGCTTGGTTGTTCTACGCTTTTTAGCGGGTGTGGCTGGCTCCGCAGGGCCTAGCCTAGGCGGCAGCAGCATCGGGGATCTGTTTTCTCACGAGGAACGAGGCAAAGCTCAAGCGGTGTATGGCTTGGGACCTATATGTGGTCCGGTTCTCGGAGGTGTTATTGGTGGGTTTATTGCGTATGGCACGCATGGCTGGCGATGGATGATGTGGGTGGTCGCTATAGCCGCTGGTGTCGTTACCAGCATCGCTGTTCTCTTCCAGAAGGAAACGTATGCGCCGGTCTTGCTGCAACGTCGGAAGAGAGCCCTGGAAAAGGCCAACCCGGGGGTCACGTACCGGGTCGAGATGGGCTCACACGCATCACAGGTCTTCCGACAGTCTATTCTGCGTCCTCTTCGACTTCTCTTCTTTTCACCCATATGCACGTTCATGAGTCTCTACCTAGCATTGTATGTGACTGGAAATCCCCACCTATCGACCGGCAAGTACTAACTAATGGATCAGAGTATTCGGCCTCCTCTACCTCCACATGGTAACCATTACCCTCCTCTTCGCCTCTCAACCCAAATACAACCTCTACAGCTACAACTGGACACACGGGACCACAGGCCTCGCCTTCCTCGGCGCCGGCATCGGCGCATTCGCCGGTGTCGCTTTCTGTATGAAATACTCCAACCCATCATATCGGTACTTCGCTGCCCGCTACGAGCAAAAAACTGGAAAGGCGACGCGCATGCCCGAATTCCGTCTACCGTTTATGCAAGTCGGTATGCTGATCGTACCCATTGGCCTACTGATTTTCGGATGGACTGCGGAATATCACGTCCACTGGATTGTGACGCTTGTGGGCGCCGCTATTTTGGGGTTGGGCATGGTCACGGCGTATATCTGTGTGCAGTCGTATTTGGTCGATGCGTTTGAGGAGTTTGCGGCTAGTGCGCTTGCTGCTGCTGTGGTCGCGAGGTTTATTGTTGCGGCAGTGTTTTCGGTGATTGGGTTTCAGCTGTATAGGAGGTTGGGGTATGGGTGGTATGTGTCCTGCTCTATGACCTGGGTGATCTGGGTTTTCTAATAGTTTCTCATCTAGGGGATCGACGCTGTTGGCGTTCATTTGTTTGGTGGCTGTTCCGATTCCGTTTCTGTTGGGTCGATATGGACCTAGATTGCGACGGATGGGGACTGAGATGGTTTAAGTAGCGATCTCTTTTGCATGAAATTATAATAGCAGAAGGGATGTCAGTCCAGATCTTCAGGCCATTCGGCAGGTTGGATCTACAACGTACCACGGGAGATAGACCAGGATCCACAGGGTAGGGTAGCAGGATGTAGAAACCGAGATCGAGTGTATGAACATGGGGGAAATCAAGGAAGCCTCTTAACCTTGTTCCATTGAAAGTGCCTATACTCAGTAGTGGTCATCGAATAGATCGGTAGACCAACGCCACCATTCCACATTAGGCAAGCGTGAGGGGTCAAACACAGACACAGCCTCACGATCACGACTCTCCTCCACTCTTGGAACCATCCCCGTCACGTTCCCCTAAATAAAATCTGTAGCAGATCCCACTGCTTTTACCCTAAAATTATTTCATCCCAAGCATGTCTCCCACTCAATTCCGCCTGATATTCAGCGTCCCCCCCACCGGCCTTGCGGCCTGCAAAGCCGCCATATTTGCTGCCGGGGCTGGCCGCTATCCCGGTGGGAAGTATACCGAGTGTTGCTGGACCACTGCTGGAACGGGCCAATTCCGCCCCGGTGATGCTGCTAACCCACATATTGGGAGTGTGGGGGCCTTGGAGGAGACCCCAGAGGTCCGGGTTGAGACGATCTGTGTGGGAGAAGATGTTGCACGGCAGGCTGTGGAGGCGTTAAAGAGGTATGCTAAAGTTGGCTGATGTGGAAGTGAAAGTTATCGACATTGCTATTGACTGGTTGAGTAGGACTCATCCATACGAGCAGCCGTCGTATAGTGTTTTTCGAATGGAGGATTTTTGAACATTTGTACTGGGAGTGCGAGTTGTGTATTGAGCGGCTTAGAGGGGTGGAACCGAGTATTTGTATCCAGTTTCTGTATATAACGTCCCACCTTGTCACTTCTTGCGATCTTTGTGGCTGATTTCGCCGGCTGTCGAAAGGGTATACGATGGCTCACATTCTCGCTTCACAGTAAAACTCAAGATTTGGGGATTAATATAACCTCCTACCTTCATCTGGATCCTTTTGTCTGCCCCTACCAGCTAGTGCAACGCTTTATATAGACTTGGAGGCATGTAAAACTAAGGCTACATGAGCTAGTAGCATGAAATCAAAGTATTTGGAATATATTAGGGACAATTGGCCAGCCAATTTCCTAAGGTACTAAGTAACATTGCGCCTAACCCCGGCAGGCCTAGATGTACATCGTGCAACAAAGTCCACCATAGCTTCTCTGCCACTCGGCTTGACCGGAATCTCTGTATGCAGAGCTCCGAGAACATGCTTCCGAGAGATATCCAGGCCAAAGCGTTTCCCTTCGCGTTCAAGGTCATCTGCCGCATGTGGCGGAATTACCTCGTCTTTCTCGGCAGACAATATTAGGACCGGTGGCAATACAGCTTTGTCACCATCGCTATCCGCACTTTGATCATCTATATTCTTAAGATCGTCTCTCCACCGTGCCATCCGCTCCATAGCCAGGATACTATCCCAATGGCTCCGTAAAAAAGGCCACAAATATCGATACGGCAACCATTTCTGAGGATAGAGGCTGATCAACATATCCTTGACACTGGATGAAGGTGCCTCGAGGATAACACCAGCAATAGAAGCTGGCGCTTGCGAATCTGCAGTGTGCGACCGAGGAAGATACGTAGCGAGACCGGTAGTTGCGATCGCTGTTCCCAAACTATGGCCCCACAGAATGACCTGCAGATCTGTGTCCGGGGCAGCATATGTCTCCGTAACCCAATCAAGAAAGGCCTGAGTGTCGAGCTCAATACCTTGCTGAGTGGGACGGCCAGATGATGTCCAGAAACCACGATATGAGAGAGCAACCACCACGTACTCTTTCTCCTCAGATGCTGAAGCAGAAGATTTTGGAGAGGCGTGAATTGCGCGCAGGAACTGCGATAGAAGGGGCAATCTCATGGGGGTCGAGCCGCCGTTGCCTTGGAAGTAGCAAATCACCACTATTTTCTTCTTACAGTGATTTCTCGACTCCTGAATGCTTCCAGGCGAGGTGGCTTTGACAGGAATGCGACCTTCGCATATTGCTAGTTTTGTACCATCGCGACTCCAGATTTGCTGTGTTTGCCAGCGCACTGGCTTACATTGTCCCTCGTAGTCGGACACCGTTTCAGATCGTGCAAATGGCGGTAGCCAGGTGAGATAAAGAAGCTTCTCTTGCATCACTACAATCCAGAAGCATTTCCAAGTCCATAG